AAACCTCCCAACTATTTTCTGACTCTTCGTTTATAACGGCTGGTGTGAACACTACCAAGGCTCAACACAACGCCTTCATTCAACTGCTAACCAGTAAGGCCCAATCACTAAAAGGTCAGCGGCATCAACATAAAACACATGAAGTAGGAGAACAATGAGTTTTACCCACCTCATTAATAAGTTCATTGTTGGGATCGTCGAGGTTGAAGACACGTTCAAGAGCAGTTTGGGTAAGCATCCTAACAGTGCGTAGAAGGTAAACCTACAAACGCGGGTGATAGTACGTGTAGAAAGTGGAAAGTTAATAAAAGAAAGTGAAACGGGACTCAAAGTCAGTTACTTTCCCACTCCAAGATCCTGTCTCCTTCAATGCAGCAGTCAGCACCCGAGCTAACTCGCACCAGATGAGGAATACAGCCTCGTTCTCCTCCTCATCTTGCTCATCTTCCTCATCGTCTTCGTCCTCCTCATCATCTTCATCCTCCTCATCGTCTTCATCGTCATCACCAACTTCTTCGTCTTCGGCCTCCTCATCGTCTTCATTGTCATTTCCATGATGAATATCACTGACATCCTGTTGAACGCCTGGCCCTGTTGTATGAGGCTTCGATATCTGGGCAACAGTAGCAGAGGTGGATGTAGTGACAGAGACGACCGAGTTACCCCGCTCCGAACCTGTTGCATCGCGCATCATAGAAGAGGCAACGGTGGTAAGGAGAAACATGGGCTGGGAAACAATAGCCGCAGAGACGGAGAGGAGAGCAAGTGCGGCTTGGTTGCGTACAAACCAAGATGGTGATCTGATTAGTGCCTCTGAGAGGGTGGATATGAATGTAGTGAGGAGAGGCGGTTTAAGGAGATCGGCGAGAGGACAGACACCACTGGCAGAGTAGCTACCAGGTGGACAGAGGTGTGACTGTTGGACATCGGTAGCAGTAGTGTTAACAGTGGGGGTAGCTGTAGCATTGGCGGCAGCAGCGTTGGCGTGACTAACGGGCAGGATCTCCCGCCATGTCTCCTTCCAAAGTGCGCGGCGCGCATTCACCTCCTCGTCATCATCATCGAGAAGAGCCGTGGCGGGGGAGAACGGCATGTTGGTGAGGGAGGCACTCGGCGGTTCCACGCCCGAGGGACCATTGGGAAGGGAGGCCAACTGCAGGACCTCGGCTTCTGACTATTGGAAACTACCTCTTTTCAGAAGTTACATTACTTTACAAAAATCCACTCTAACTGAAAAATGAGAACTCAAAGAGTTATGGTCAAACTTGTTGCAGTTAAGGAGAGAACATTTTAGGACGGAATTTACAACAGAGCTTTTAATCACCCCTTTTTCTTGCTTTAATAATTCATTAGAAAATGTTCTGCCCATCTCCTCGACAGAGAAAGCTTATCGAACAAAGTTGGATGGAAAACTCTGTAATGCGTTGCATATGCAATACTGGAAGCTTGTTTCAATTCGCAATTCCATCAATGACGTGCGAACTGGTCTTTAGGTCTGAACGTTGGTTTCTTTGGTCTTTAGGTACCAGTCACAAAGGCCATCTATCCTCATTCCTTCTGTTAGATGCAGACAAAGCAGTCTAATGAATAGCCCTTGGCAAAAGGTATGAAAATAACGTCTACCGGCCTTAGCTACCGTGGTCTAGTGGTATGCAGAAATGACATTTTACAATTGCAGCAGCGCTAGCCATGAGTCATCTGGGAAATTTTCTTTGTGGTTGCATCAATATGTCATTTACGTTGACTCGCGACACCTCCATGTCCTTACTAGATGCGAGTTCTAAGAATCTACCATTTCAAAGGTTTTTGCATTGCCATAGTTGATACATCAGCACATTTTTGTCAGCAAAGTTCGAATTGGATGTTTCCAATTCCTCATCTGCGCCTGCTGTCAAAAATGTATTAAATTACGTCGTCAGCAGATCAGATGTAAGATTCCCTTTACTCACAAATTACATTTTCACGATTATTAGGGGTAGAAGCGATGAACTGTCGATACTAGAGATGATTGTGTGGAAGTCTCTTAACCAATCCCGAAAACAATTGCAGACAACGCTAAAAAACAGAGCACTTGAAAATGCTGAAGTATAGTAGGCACCTCTATCCAGAAACAACCCACTAGTACACAAGGTATAAATCATTAAAAATATTAGTAATTACTCCCTTCTGGTTTCCCTACCGTAAAAGTGGCTCAAAGGTCATGCCACACACATGTGAGGTCAATGAAAATAAGTTAGCATAACACTATGTGGGTAAAGACGCAAACTGAACTGACCTGAGTGTTGATGAAGACCAAGGGCAAGGTCAAACCAGGATGTGCAAAGAGGAGGTCGGGACAGCAGCGTGCGATAGCATGCATGACACGAACACATGCCCATTGGCCGGAGCCGCTCGAGACGCCCTCCGAGTACTGACCACCAGCACCAGTCTCCATAAACCAGGAGCGCACGCGAGTAAATACCTTCGCCACACTGGTGTCCTTTCACCAACACAAAGAGATTAGAATGAATGCATGCGTTCAGTTGTAGGTAGACAAAAAAATTCTCACCTTTGCAAATCGCAGTAGGAGAGCCACAGCTTGGGCCATCTCCTCTTGCACCGTCTTCCTACCTAAATTATCTAGCTGACGTCCCGCATTTGGCAAGGCACCCAGTAGAGCAGCCAGCAGCTTCCCTGTGTGTTGAGAGAGCGGAGAGACGATGCGATTCTTCAAGTCATCGCCATCCCCCTCCTCCTTTTTAGCTGCACACAAAGCAAAGTTTATGATTAACGATCGGCGCAGGAAATGCAGATAGAGGCAAGCACTCACATTGAGGAGAGGAATGAGTAGTTACAGTTGGAGAAGAAGAGGAGGAAAGCGCAAGGTGGGAGAGAAATATGCAAGTGGCTGTTGCTACAGCAGCAACTGAATTTGCACCAGTACCACGAGATCCACCTCCAGCACTACTTCCTCCACCTGTTCCACCACCAGCGCGGATCAACTCCACCAGTGGCATGACCAGTTGGGAGAGAGAGCCGTCGTCAATCAATCTTACACACTAGGATAAAGGGGTAAAAATGAACTTGCCAAAGGTAAAAAAATATTTAGCATCACTTCCTCATCTTTTTAGTGTGTTGATAGCAAGGCAAACATCAGGTTTAGGTACTACCGTACTATACTAGCATCAGAGGTAATAAGCTCACTTCGAAAGATGAAAATAATACTCAAAAGGAACACAAGGAGGGGTAGCAGAGACGCCATCACAACCAAAACACTGTTAAGCTGCTACCGAAATCCATATTTATGCATAGACATCAATCAAGGAGCGGAACCGATTTCGAACACATTGAAAACACGCATAAAGGAATTGCTTACAATGTTAAAGAGATTTGAGCCGAATATGAGAACCAAAATCACACTTCATATGAGACCGCTGACGACTCTAATGAGTTATATTGTTAAACATTTACTTTCGCCATTAAGATGTCCAGTGATCTTTTCAATTCAGTCAAACGATCTCACAAATAAACAATTGACAAGCCTCTCGCCCAGTGTGTAACAGCAAGCAATTTAGAGCAACAGCAAGAGGCTTCTAGTAACACAATCTATAAATGTTCAGGTGGCGCCATTGATAGTCGCCAGAAGACGCATTAACGTCTTCAAATCTGGAAGTCCATAGGATGGTGGCGGCTATGAAATGAATACTGGGCTTGGTAGTAAGAGAAGAGAGATACTTTTTACTGGAGGGAGAAAATGCGGACAATCATGGTAGAAGAACAATAGCAATTATGTCAGCTTTCTAACAACTACCCCGAATTTGAGTTTTGCTTGAAAGTCAGTAACACATCTAGGAAAAAGAAACAGGTCACCGCTATGACTAGTGAGATCGACATCATCTGAGGAATTAATGAAACCACTTTTGCACTTGTCTATTCAATATGCCTTGATGGACTCACTAGTCGTAAGACTTCGGCCATTTGCAACTCCCTCGAGGTAGTATTGGAAGACGCCAAATTTGAGTTCCAGTGGGAATGCTGCGGAGGCAGGACGGAGGGGAGAGTAGAGGGCCGCATTACACTGACGACACGGTTGGGAGTGAGCGAGGCCATGGTCTGCAGACCCGCAACGGTGAGCTGGGGTAGCGCATTCTTCAGAGAAGCGGGACTAGCAACCCGTGCTGCTGCCAGAAGCAAGTCCAGTGCCAGTGAGCGTGACTCCGTGATAGGAGGCTGAGGGTGCTGCGACTTTGCAGTATCAGACGATGAAAAAGCCGCAGCTGTTGACAAGGCACGGCTAATGAGGATAGGAAGAAGGCGAGGAAGGAGGCCGGTGGCTACGTCTCGACAGGAGGGGTCATCGAGAGCTCGGATCATCAACTAAGAAGCAAAGAAATGAAATTGCGGATGCTGCAATATATCCGTGCTAGCATTACTAATAAACTTCAATAAGTGGCTCCATTCAGCGTCCAAAATTTCTTGTCGAGAACAAAATCGGTTGCTTATACCTTCGAATCGGTAAAAAATAGGTTATTATCACATCCTAAAAAGATGAAAAGATGCAAATTTCACATGTCAACAATAGTTCGATCAAAAGTACAACTTCTATGAAGGCCTGTAGTCTATACCGAAGATAAGATTTGTTAAAATTGCAAAACTTAAATAAACATTCTAAGCAAATCCATCCTTAAGAAGATGTTTTTCCGAACTAGGAAAACATAACAGCCGTTTTTAAGACAACTCTAGTGTGATAGCCACCAGGACTGCTCGAAAATCTGGCACATATGGCACTTAGGTTTCCTCCAGCTCGGATGTGGCACAGTACTATTAATTATCTTAGCCAGTTCGACCATAGCTTGAAAATAAAAAATGAATTCACTTTCAAAAAACTAGTGCACATTTCACTCTCGTCAACCAAGCAAATATGCCCACAGAAAGATTTGATGCAGCAAATTTCCAAAAAAAGTGATTAAATGCTTATTGCAAAGCTTGCCTTTTGAATAGCAGACGCAGCCTTTTCAGCAGGGGAAGGTTGTGAAGCCCCAGTAGCATTCGTAACGCCACTGTCAACTCCTGCATCATCAGAGGTCTGCTCCGCGTCAACCATAGCGAGAAGACCCGAAAGGAGGGAGGGAAGATGGGCCGCAAACTGCTTGTAAGCCGAGGGATGCTCGGTTAACGCCACTGTGGCTAGACAACAGGCGTCACGAAGGTTGGGATCTGGGGCAGAATTCGCTCCTAAGACCGCATTGGACGATGGGGGCGAGGTTGGAGATTTGGACTTCGTGGTCGAAGTCAAACCCAGTTGTGCCTTGATCTCACAGAGGATGGCATTAAAATTGGCCTCAACCTGGGCATATAGAATGAAGATCATAACGGGAAAAATCTGTGTCTACAAAATGAGCAACAGCTATAACTAACAAGCCTGAGACGGTGTAAGGAATGACATCGTTTGACCAATAGCGGGAC